TTTACTCAACTAAAAATGTTTGGTATGAACCCTTAGAGGTGTAGTCGCAGGCAACATATGCATTAAAAATTGAAAAAATGCTAATGTAATACTGACATCTTGGGATTAATTCATTTTCATGCAAATAATAATAATGCTAGTCTGACAGGTCTAAAGAAGAGTATCATTTTTTTTCATTCATCAATTGTAAATGATAAGCCATCTAGAGGTTTTATTATATTTATAAGCCCATTATAATATCGTTTATCAAGATTATCTATAGTAATTGATTTTCACTTGGGTCTAAATTCATAGTGAATTGAGTATAGGAATAATGAAAATGGTTCTTTTTTCTCTGAAGAAATTTTATAAACAACCAAATAGTTCGATGATTAAAACGATTATAAAATGCTAAGTAAAACATAACTCAATATTTACTGGAGACATCATTTTCTTTTAATATTTTTCCTTTCGATCGTTCTATGGCCAATCATAAGAATGCTTGAATAAGAAAGAAAGTATGATAATCAATGCTTCCTTTTTCTTTTATGGTTCACTGGATGACATAATATAAAAAAGGGACTATGAGTCTGTCGATCTTCTATTATGTATCATTGAGTTTCTATTGTCTATTATATCAATGTTTTGAACAGTTGCAACGATATTTGTTATAAATATCATGGATATATATGCCAAAATCATCAAACACAAGTAGTAGATTTATAATTCAATGAAAGTTCTAATAGATTGACATTGAACTAACAGCAGCAGTGTTCAGAATTTCTGAAGAAAGAATATTAGCAAAGCATGAGAAAATAATTTGTAGAAAATATCGATAATGACTAATAATAATAAAGCTCTTCCTTCATAAGTATGACAATTTTCAAAATTTCTCGACAAATACTGTCTTATAAATCAGTAATTAAATGATTTTCTTAGAAATTATATTCTGATGTGTTAGTAATTACCAAAATTTGCTAGATATTATCTTGTCATATATTGCTAGTACCGAAAATTTCTTTTTTTGTTCTGAAATCTAAGCATACCTCGTTCATCATATATTACTCTTATGCTTCAATCGTTACAATATGAATAATGATATTGTTTATGCATATTTTTAGATAACTAACTTTAATAATCATTGAGATTCAAGAAAGCGAATAATTTTTATTGAGTAATAGAATAGACAGTCGAGTTTTTAATATTCGAAATTAAGTCATAATTCATTTTTGTTTGATAATTTAGTAAAATTATAGAGAACATATTCAAAATTGATTTTTATTTTTAACGTTTCTTATAATAGATATAGAATCAATATATCAACGATTATGTTTGATACATTGATTTATTTTTATAAAATATTAATAAACATTCTTCTATATAGAACTATTACCAAGTCAAATGAATGTACTCGTTGATTTATTAGGCGATGTACCAAAAGCTATTATTCAAGATGAAATAGTCTCAGTAAGAATTTTTTATAATAAAAAATTAATTTTCTTTAAATTTATTATCCAATAGTTATTACCTATTTTAATTCGAGCATTAGCATCATCAAATGAATCAGTTTGGTCATCAGCACTTAATTCAATATGTGATTTAATTAACTCTGAACCAAATAGTGTAGTTGATCATACTGATACACTTTTTCCACGTTTAATAACTTTAGCAACTTATCAAAAAGATATGGTAAAACAAAAATAAAACAAAATAAAATATTGTTTTCTTTTTTTTTGTCTAGTCAATTCGTATTACAACTTTAAAATGTTTGAAATATTTAACAAATTTACCCATACATAAAATTGAGCCATATCGACGTCATATAATACATCTATTAAAAACATGTGTTGATGATCATAAACGTCTTGTAAGAAAACAAGCTGTCGAAACACAAATGTCATGGTAAATTTATTTAGCGAATTTTTGCTTTTTTTTTTCTTAGAAAAAAAAGAAACAACATAAGTATTTATTTTAGGTGTTTATTGAATGCATAATTAACAACGATGATTATAGACTGATTACGTTTTTTTTTCTTCCAACTATAGAAATTCTTGCGATGATTTGTTTTGATGTAAATCCCATGATTTCTACTTCTTTTGTTTTAGATAGATTTTAGAAAAATAAAAATGTTAAAATTGATATATTACTTGAAATATTCTTTTTATGTATTCATTATATAGAATAAAATGTTAGATATTTATATTTGATTACATGTATGAATGTTATTTATTACGATTAAATAATTATCAAAAATTAACAAGAACAATATAATAATGATTAATGAAAAGTAAATATCGATTGATGATTTTAAACAAGAACTTAATAAATGAATGATATGAAAAAATTACCAAGTGCAATAAGTCAAATATATAGAAAAAAGAAAAAATCCAGATTTCACAACCTTGAAGATTGACCGTGAGAAATCAAGATATTTTTATATAAAATGAGATGAGCACGCTACATATGATTGCTCGAAGAACAACAAAACTTTCAATTCCGACAAGTGTTTCTATCTTTATCCTATTGGTGCAACAGTGAATATATACATTCTCCTAGAGATAATCTAACATGAATAAAGAAAAATAATCATTAAATCTTCTATCTTCAATCATTTCACGATGGCTTAATTGAAATTTACAAAAACAAAAGTCAATTAAAAACTCAATATGAACTAGAAAAAATAAGTCTATAAAGAAAATAAATTATTTGTCGTGCTATCTATAGCACTTTACAAAGTTGATTATATTGTTGTAAGCAAAAGACTTTCTTTAAAGAGTATTAACGAAGAAAATCCTTCAACCAATAAAATACTTTTCGGTCGAGACTAAATACATTATGCAGATCCAAATGAATTATGAATATAGTTCGGACTTTTAGTTTATTGCTACAGAGATACGGTATTTTTTTAAATGAATGTCGCAGTAACATAAAAACTAATTTTCGATTTTCGACTTGATAGTTTCCATAGAGAAAGGCTTAAGTTTTTGTGAATGTTTCAGATCTTGTCCTTGTTTCTATCCTAAGATTCAACTATGATTACAGTGTGTCTTTTACATCATACATATCAACTGCAAGATTTGATGTCCTTATGTCAAAATAGAAGCAAATGAGGGTCTCTTCATCCATCAAAAAAGTCAACATTAGACAAAAAAAATGAAAATTAAGATAAATGCATGGGAAGATAGCCTAAGGCCTAATACTTCATAAATGACATGATTTTTTTATTCGATACTTCCTTTTTCGTCGAAATTCTTAATTATTTCTGTCGTCACATATATGAAAAACAAGCTATTATTAGATAAAACGGGAAAAATTTTTCGGTTCCTCTCTATTTATATTTTTTTGATCGCTCAATCTAGAATCCTTTGTAAGCTCTTATTCTATATATATTTAGTATTTTTATGTTTGAAAGCGCATGTAGAGATGCAGAGCATCACAGACTCCCATTTCTAATTAAGCTTTGTTTTTATTAGATTTTCAAATGCTTAGATAAAAAAATAAACATACATTTCTGGAGAATTTTTTGGGACTTTCGATTTCTCACTCTTTTTTTCCACATAAATAGTAGGAATTTCAAAAAAAAGAACTTTGTAGTGCCCTGCATCTGGATATGCTCTTTCAAAAAAAACAAATTAAGTATATAGAACGAACCAGAAGGAAAAACATCGGCCTGTCACACGAGCTCGTTTTGACTCTTGCTCGGTGAATATCTCTATCAAATGTTATGGTGTGGAAGTGAAAATTTTACCATAGTCTCTCTACTACAGCCCTAACGTATCTTACAAATTTCAGGTGATTTGAATGTATCTCAAGTTTTGAGGGAAGATGAGGGCTTAAAAGACCTAAAACGTTCACAAAAAGCTATTCTAGTTTAATTCTGTCTGTATGCAATGTTTCAGATCAAAGTTCGAAAAAATTTTTTTCTGTTAGTACAGCATTCAGTTCAAAAACTAAGGTAAAAGTGCAGCAAGAATTCAAGGATACGAACCTTTTTTAGGGTATTCATTGCTCATTTAGATCTATACAATGCAGATAGCCTCGGCTCAATAGAGATTTACCATTCGCGAAAATTTCCTCATAAGGAAATAATTAAAAAATTATGTATCATGCTGAGTCAATTCTTTTTTTCTGAATAATTTTCAACGACTCTTAAAGTTAAATTGAAAACCAAACAGTTAGAAGATTTTATATCCAGGATTATCATCTTCATTAAAGCCAGATTAGTGTCAGGAACATGTGCTTAGAATGACTAATGGGTTTAAGTCTTTCATCAACTTTAGAAAAAAAATATCCTATTTAATTCGCCTATATAGTATATAATCAGTCGTAAATCTTCTAGTCATTTTTTTTTATATTTAAAAGTGTCGAGATTTAATTGTATTACTGGAAGATTTAAAGGATTGCAAGCTTTATAATTCTTATCGTATGTTTCGGATTTCATAGTGAGAATATTTTTTAAATGCAAATATATTAAACCTTCTATTAAAAGTAAGTCATATCATAAATTAGTAGAATGGTTTTTGTTATTGAAATTATTTGGTACATAGTTCGAATCTACATCGAAGAACAAAATTGGAAATCTTTGCCATGATGATTTAATATATAGGTATGATCATTAGTGATTCCAAATCATAGAGCCTAATTAATATCTGAGCAAAGATGAAGTCTTAACGAAACTTATTTTTGAATTTCCTCAATGTCTGAAATTAACACATTAGAACTAGTACGAACAAGATGATCCTTGCTCATATGTCTAATTAGAAGAATGCTACTCTTGAAGAATTCATAGTTACTCTCAATGAAAAGCATTCAACAAAAAAAATATTTTTCCTGTTTAGTAAATTTTAGTTGTCGTTAATCTTTCCTGGATGAGTTTTAAAAATAAAATTCTGTAACTTTTGTTTTTCTCATTGTTTATGTTTTCATTTGTTCTGTGCGATTCATGCATTAATAAAAACAACACAATAGTAGATGTCGAAACATTTTGTTTTTGTTAAATTTCTTTTCTTTTCTTTTTTCAGATGATGTCGGAAGAAAATAATGAACAAAATGACTCAAATTTAAATTTAAATCATCATGAAGTAAATAGTAATAATAATGATGATGATAATACAATAAAAACTCAAGATAATCAATGGATTGATGAATTACGTCTAGCACTTGAAAAAGGATGTGATTTAGGATCAATTCGTAATATTGGCAAATGTCGTCCACTTACCGATGATTTGAGATTGCGTGTTTGGAAAGTAAGAAAATTATTTTTTTAAAGTTTTTGTTTATGAATCAAATTCGAATCTCAAATAGATGAAAATCTCTATCAATCAGTTTCCGTTTTAATAGAACCTGTAGAAGTTCAAAAAGACTCTAACAAAAGACAGTGCTCAAGTGATAAATAGCTTGGAACTATATTTAATCGAAAGAGCCTTGCGATTAGGTATATACTTGAGAATAGCTCCAGCTGTCGAACCTTGATTGCTGAAGTATCGAATTTCTTATGAAAAACATGGAGTTTTTGGTAGATTCCTATCTCGAAGAGACTTTATCAAAGAATTATGAAAATTTCGCTACAAAATATACCCATCACGATCTTCATAAGGGTAAGGCTCAGGTCTAAATTCAAAAGTATGACTTTGCTTGAAACCTGAAAGGAATCTACTTAAACCTTAGATATCTCAGTAAAATAGGTCCAACAGCTCGAACTACTCTTGAATATTGACTTACGCATTAGGCTCTCTCAATTGAATATAGTCCCAAGCGGTTCATCACTTGGAGATAGTTATCCAATAATTCATATAATGCGATCAATATAGCCTTCGATTGATTTCCCTTCAAAAATAAATTGTAACTTTTTTTCAATGAATGAAAATTCACAAAAATAGAATTCATATTTTTTTTCGTATTGGGATTATGAATGTGCGGTCGATAGAAAGAAAATAGGTATCTTCATAAACATAATATTTTTTTTTTGAGAATAAAAATTGGATTTCTCTTATATTTATCTTCTATTAAAATTTTATTTTGCTAGACATGTCTGGATATCAATGAAACCAATAATGAATATGAATATATTGATAGTAATGTTTTTGATTTACCAGAACAAAATGTAATACGTGACGATGTATCACGTTTAGTACGTAAGTATAAATACAATAAATCATTGAGCGAAATAATAAATTTTAAGATAATTTTATAGATGCATCACAAATAGATCAAGATATGTTAACATCAAAAATGACTGATCTTGAAGCAGTCATTACATATTATTGTAAAAAAAAGTATGTAATTATGTGAAAATTTTATTCAAAATTTATTTTCTTTTTTGTAAGTCATGAAACATATGGAAAAGGAAATGGATGGATTGAAATATTTAAACCACTAATTACTCTTGAATATAAAGACCGCTCTGAACTTTATGCATTATTTGCTAGTGTTCGCAATCGTTACATACCTCGGTAAGAATTTCTTTGTAATACTATTTGAAATAAATAAATAAAATATATATCTTTTTAAGTGATTGTGAAGCTGATGGAATGCCTTATCACTTATTTCGATTATTATTACTTTATCATGATCCAGAATTATGTAGTTTTTTTGATACAAGAAAAATTATACCAGATTTATATGCACATATTTGGGTATGATTAATAAACTTTTGAAACTATTATTAATTTAATTTAATTTTAGATTCGAAGTTTATATGCTGGATCATGTTCATTAAATGTTACTTTACCGCTTTGGGATGGATATTTTCAACATGCTGATCAATTTTTTGCTTTTTTTCTTGCTCTTGTTTTACTTATGTTTGCTAAGTAAGATTAAACAAGAAATAATAATCATAATAGTTATTATTATTAAATATTCTTAGAGAACAGTTGTTAGAAATGGCTGACAAGGAAAAAAATGAAATTATTAGTAAATCATTAAAACAATTGTCTTGAATCAATTTATCTTTTTTTTTTCTTATTTTTTGTGTAAATTAGATTTTTTATCAAAAGCACCATCCAATTTAACTACTGATGATTTAGATGATTTTTGTTCATTAGCTAATCATTATGCGTCAAATACACCTCAATCATTCCGCAAAGTAAAACGAAAGAAATCAATTGATTTCAAATTTATTTAATTGTTATATTCTTCTTTACAAAAAAATAGGAATTCTATTCATGTTTATTCAGTGAAACAGATCGATCATTTTCTCAAAAAGCTTATTCCATCTATCAAGCATTATGTTTACCTGTTTCTGTTCAAGAACTACTACAAGCAAATCAATTAGGCGGAGTATAAAATAAAGTTTTATTTATATGTTCATTTGTTTTTCTTCTATCTATTGACTTTTACTAGACGGCAGGTGTCAGATATTTTATTGTTGATTGTCGACCAGCTGAACAATATAATGCCAAACATCTTTATACAGCATTTCATCTTGATGCGAATCTTGTAAAACCGATTTTTTTTTTCTTTTTCTTTATTAAAACACTCTGTTTTTTTTTAGTTACTCGAAGATCCAAAAGAATTTGCTGGAACTGCAGATGCACTTTTTGCTACACAAAAACGTGCTATTGATGCTGGTAAAGAGTTCTCAATCAATTCTAATTCTTAACTACATGCATTTTCAGTAGAAAGTTTGATATTTTCAAGTATGTCTTATCAGCTAACAATTTGATTTAACTATAGGAATGAAAACATAACATACATGAAGCAAGATTCATTCTCGTCAAAAATGTCTTTCAACAATATGTATTCAAAGCTCTTCTGAATAGATTTAATACATAGATTAGTTTTGTCGACACTGCACATGTGCGGGATTAAAACAAAAATCATGGCAAAGAAAAGTTATTAAGAGCATGTTCCAGATTGCGAGCAAAAGTTGTCTTAGCCGAAAATAAAAAAGATAGTTAAATATTCTATGTCTTTAAGCGAGTTACCTTGTAAATTGAAAAGCTAAAATCATCCGAACCATGTTGGATATACCTAGGTCATGACTAAAACAATTTAATCTCGCACATCTCTAGTTTTGACCGATAACGAATGCTATATCTAGTAGAAATACTTTAATGAACGATCGATTTCAAATTCATTTGAACCTTAGCTAGTGTTGTATCGCTAAAATTTTTATCAATTTTAGATAATCATTAGAAATCTAAATAAATTTCTTTTTCTTTTTTATTCATTTAGGTTCAGCAGCAGGTGGTGAACATCTATGTTTTATAGGTTCAGGTCATGAAGAAGAAGATAAATATGTACGTATGGTTGTAGCTTATTTTTTACGACGCAATACAAAATATGTTAGTATTGCTTCTGGTGGTTATGAAAGTAAGTTTTTATATGGCTCATCATGTTTTTCAATATTGTATCTTTATGAAAATAGTTCTTGCACAAGCTATCGAAGACCCAACCATGTTAATTCAACAACAAGAACGTAAAATCTCAACAGCAGCAGCAGTAGTACAGGAATCACTATCTATTGGATCAACACTTAAACAAAATATAGCAGAAAAATTACCTGTAATTAATACGCAGGTGAAATATTCAACATAGAATCGATATAAAGGAAAACAAAACATTCTTTTTTTTAATAGACGGCTTCATTACTCAATATGATTTCAAGTGCAGTGAAAACAAAATCTATTGAAGTCAAAGATAAAGTTAAAGATTATATAACTCATACATCATTAAATGATTCATCTCATTCAACATCTAAGTAATTTATTATATTTCTTATATTTGATTATTATTTTTATTCATTAGACATGTAAGTAAACAAGATAAAGTCAGTAAACTTTATCGACAAAATCAACCATCAGTTTTTTCACTCGATGAAGATGATGATGATGGTAAGAAAAAAAACTTTTTTTTTCTTTAAATAATTTGTATTTTCTATTATTTAGCAACAACATCATCATTTCGACAACATGGAACATCTGAACTTGTTGATATTGAATCATGGTTTTTACGTAGTGATCTATTATATAAATATGAATGTGAACATTTCGATGAAAACGATAGACCACATCCAAGGTAATAAGAATAAAATAAAAGAAATCCTGCATTTTTTTTTGTTGTTGTTATTTTAGTCTTTTATTAGTATCATCAACACATTTATATATATTACGAAAATTACCTGAACATAAAACAATGGCTAATCTTGTTTCACGTCGTCCATTAAATATAGTATCAAAAATAACAAGTAAAAAAAATTTTCCTGAAATTATAACATTTCGTTATGCAGCCAACCAAGGCGAAGAAGATGAACAAGAAAAAGCTATTAAATCGAATATGAAAAATACAAAAATAAAAATTCCAATTGATTGTGATAAAGTTTATATACCTGATGCAGGTGATGCTATAAAGAATATCAAAATATTAATTATGAAAGCATTAAATATGTTCGAAATCTCGAATGAAAATTGATTAACTCGAATCTTTCTTTTTTTTTTATTCTATTGGTGGTATTTCTTTTGTTTTTTGCTTCTATTGTCATTACGAACAGAAAAACGAAACACTATTTACTTTTTAAAACTAATATATATATGTATTTTGTTTTGTTTTATTACATATTTCATTGATTGCAATACATTTTTATTTACAATTATATTATTCTGGTTGGGTTTAGAATATAACATGAATAAATCAATACATTTATTTTTATCGTTTCGTATCCGTTGATTGACATGACATACAAAATATAAGTTAATTAGGAAATAATTGTATATTTTAATTTTTTGTTCAATATTTCTATTGGGATTTGATATAAAGAAAATTACAATTATGAACAGTTTAGAGTAATTTAATCATATTTTTTTTTCCATGGAGGCGTATCGTTGTAATTTTAGATAGCATAACAAGTCATTTTCTAGTAGACTAGAGCTCATTCATAATAGAATTTTTCTGTATGAATGAATATTGGTTCTGATGTCAAATTTTGAGCATGTATTTAAAAAAAAATTTACGGATCATAGGCATGAAAAATAATTCATTGAGAATAGAGACAGAGATCAAAGTAACTGTCATATGAATATAATGAATGTAATAAAATTAGATTTAATTTTTTTATTATTCATTCGACCATAAAAATAAGCACAAATTGGCTACATGTATTCATTATCTTATTATAGGTAGTTTTCTTTTTCCTGATGCTTATCAACCGTAAATTTTTACAATTTGACAACAAAGAAAAAAATTCATAACACTGATTCATTTATAAACAAATCTTTATGTATTAGAAAATGTATTGTTTATACTATTTGAAGTTACAAGGTTACTTTCGATGAAAAAGTATTGTTGTGCACTCTGTATATAGAGTGAAAATAATCTATGAATAGCGAACGAGTTCATTCCAAGCTAGAAAGAAACTAAACCTATCAATGTAATTAATTTTATTTAACAATAATAATCAATAATGATACACTTCAAATTAGTAAGAGAATTTTGAAGAAAAACAAGTCGTTTTTCATGTTAAAAGACATTAGAAATTTTCAAAGATTTATTTAAATCTAACATAGTTTATAACAACATAATTTAACAGGTAATTCATGTGATCAATGTTTTCATCATATTCTTAGATTATGTATCGAGTGAAAATCCTATATACAGCTACAATAAATGCTTAAAACTATAAATGATTAGGGCTGTAAGTTGATCAGTAGGGTCACTGCAACGATATAGAGATAGATATTTAATTTTTTAAAACTTCAAACGTCCCAGATCAGCTTTTTGAAATGTTACCATTCTGTTTTTTGTCAAGAAATTCTCTAAGATAATTTTCTCACTTTATTATTTCAAAAATTCATGTAAAATCTTCAGCTGCTACCAGCGATCAATGCATCGATTTACATCTCTATATATGATACTTAGAAGGTGTCAGACAGTGCCGTGTTTTAATATTAATCTTCAAAGTTGGATCTTGCACTTACGAAAGAACATATTTAGCTGTCGAACGTTGTTCGACCTCATATTATGGTTGTGAGTAAGACTTAGCAAAATTCAGAAACATCTAAAAAAATATATTTGTTTGAGCTGAAATTTTTAACATATTCCAGTGGCTGTAAGACTTTACTAAGGCGGTCATAACCCTGACTGAGTAATGCACGAATCAGTAGCGTAGCCAGAAATTTTTCAATGGGATGCCGACTCATTATGGGATGTGCACACCAACAGCAAAATAAATTTTTATTTCTCAAAAAAGATATTTTACCTGTACTCCCCTCCAGGCATTTTTTGTCCAAGGGGGGTGCCCGGGCACTCTGTGCACACTCCCTGGCTACGCCCCTGACACGAATTCAAACCCATTTAGAGTTTTCTTATTTTCCCCGAGTCCTAATCATAGCAAAGGAAGGGAGTTGAACAGCGTCTAATAATTGAATAGATGCCCTAGTTAGAGAAAATAGGTTTATAAAAAGAGGATAATATTTTAAAAATTCTCTAAGCTAACAAGAAGTATACAGATCTTCTCTATTCCAATCATTACACCTGCTGCATATGAATATACAACTGATTTCAATATTTCATTCAATTTTATCTTTTAAAAAAGAATCATGTTCTTTCTATCAAACATAATTACATAAGAAAAAAAACCGAAAAGAAGAAAAAAAGAGTTAAATTCGTCTAATATCATTCAAACAATACAACAACAATATTTATACAAAAGAAGAAAAAAAAAGGAGACAGAGAAAAGAATAAAGAAGTTAATAGTATTCGATAAATCACCACAATTATGAGTCTCTCTACAGAATAGTATGAAATAACCTTGTCCATATTTCTTGATCATATATAAAAAAGACAAAATTTAGTCGACTAGAAAGAAATAGCAGAAGAAAAGATATTCTTATCATGACTAGCCGCTTGTAGCTGTCATCGATGATATTGTTGTACTGGAAACAACTTCCATCCATCTAATGAAATAAATTACCATGTAAAAAACAACATAGATAAAAAAAAAGAATTTTTTCTATTTACCGATCAAAAGCATATTGACTTTCAGCACGAAAAAAGTAAACATGATTTTTAAATTGAAGCTTAAATACAAAATCTTTATTAACACCATCGGTTTCTGATGGTAATGAACTACGATAACCAAGCAATGGTAAGGATGCTAATGGAAAATCATCCTTAAAATATATAAAAAATAAAATAGAAGACAAAGATCTATCAACTTCGCTTTTTTTTACTTGATAAGTTTTATAAAAGAATAAACAAAAATTTGTAAAAACAACCCATAATTTTTGCCAACCATTTGAATTTTTAAATTTACGTAATAAATAACCACTTAATTGATTTTTAATTGATTGTCGATGATCATTCATTGATACAGATAAATTTCTATGCCAACATACATGCATTGTTGTATTAGCACGATGTTGGATACATGAACGTTCTATTTGATGTACTTTTTCTTCTTCAATTGTTCCTACAATTGAATGATCAAGATTTTCAGATGATGCTATAAAGAAAAAGAAAATGAATATATTGAAATTAAAGAAAAATTTTTTTATTATTATTAGAAATACCATTCGATTTTAGTGTAGATGTATATTGATTTTTATGTTCATCACCACTAGTTTTTATGTTTTCAATAGCTGATTTTAAATCATTCAACCATTTATTCTTTTCAGCTTCCGAACTAGAATTAATAATTAATCATTTAATCAAACGATAACTTCTTAGATTCATATAGATTTTAAGCGTCTAATGTTTTCTGTTCCAGTTATATACACTCAAGACAAAATGAAAAAGTATTATGATTAGAGAATCAACTAATGATGGTCGTTACCAGAGCTAGTTTTTCGTTTGTTGTACTAAAGAGAACGATTGTTTTCCTTATATTAGAAACATCACTGTCTATTTCTGATGTCTTTATGACAACTATGCCTAGCGATAACTCTGAACAGAAAGCCAGTCTGATGAAGAGTTCTTGAATTCATCATACACAATAATTGATCAAAAGAGTAGGTTTATGTCGCAGTATAGTTTATAAATAACCGTTAGTGATTTTTTCATGGTCATTCCATGGTTGATGGTACTGGCAGAGAAGACCTCCAACTGTTCGATTGCTTTTAAATTGAGCTTATGTTTACTATATAGGTTCAAATGTGTTATGAATACCATGAAAAGAGTGCGTGTCCTTAGCTTAGTGCTATGGAGATAATACGCTATAATCGTATTTTTTAAGATGAATAGTGTAGTGTTTTGTCAACGTTTCAAGTATTGACGTTGCTCGTATTCTAATATACAATTATAGTAATAATGTATCTTTAACATTACATATGTGGACTGACGGCTTTCGTGTTCTTATCTCAGGATACGAGCAAATCTAAAAACTTGAAACATTCACAATAAACTACTCTTGTTAAAGCCTATCTCCATATAACCTTTCAAAGCGAAACTCAAAAACCAATTTTTCTGGTGTTCCTAAGGAGGACTACAATATTCGTTTTAAAAAATATGATAAAAGTGTAGTAACTGTGTAGCGACAAACTAAGGACACAAGTTCTTTTCAGATTACTCATAGCCCATTTGAATCTACATAATGTACAAAGTTTCAAATACAAAGAAAATGAAAATTTAGAAGACGTCTCTCGTCAGCCATGGCGAGATTACGCTATACATACAAAGCATATTAGCAATTCAGAAATACTATGTAAACTTTTTTTAATACAGTGAAGGACGTTATGATGACGTTTATAGAAAAATTTTGATTTTAAACTTTTGGGTACAAAAATGAGAGAGAAAAATATTTTAAGTCTAAAACGTATAAATTTAAAGACATTTGTTTTAGTTTCTTTGTCTGTTATATAAATTTTCAAGGGTTTTTCATCAATTAAGACAACAGAATCGAGTTTTTAAAAATCTATTTCAAAAAAGTAAACATTTTATATTATGCTTGTTGATAATATGAAAGAGATAAGTATTAAATTTAAAAAATTTAGTGTCTATACTTGAGCATGAAATCATCGAATGTAAAGTCGTCGATAGCCTACACAAAGATTTAATAAATAAAAACTAGTTGTAGAAATTTATTGTCTTTTAATAGAAACATGAAAGTAGGCTTAAGTGTTCGAGCACAACAATATTCAGGAGATTGAAACAGGCGATCACATAATGCCATAATTTCAGTCAGGAAGTTAATCAACAATTTTTCAGTCTAGCATAATTCCTACTCTATTTATCTTTACTATACATACCTTGCTGCTACAAGTAACGATCGAGTACCCGTATGTATTGTGATAGAATTAGGAATTTTAGCACGTTCATCACTATCTTCAACCTAGAAAATCAAGAATTAAAATGATTATAGAATTATTAGAAAAAAAAAAGAATCTTCAAGTACTAACTGTCATTAATTTTAATGGAAGTTCACCGTGTAATTTAAATTGAAGTATTGGACTCGAACTACGAGCACAATAAAGTAAAAC